GCAAATATTCAAATGAGTTAGAAGATTGAGTTAGAGTTTAACTAACAATGTCAATATATAATGTTAAATATATTTTGAACATCCATTGAGTCTTAATATTTAATATAGAGTTCTTCAGTTGGTGTGATAGTATAAGAATATTGGTCAAGGCTGTTCATCTCAAATTTAGGTAGATAAGGAACAATGGCACTTCTACAATGCATCTCATATTGTACTATGTATTTAAACGAGAGTCATTCATGATAAAATATGTTTTCTGTTTTCGGCGTCTACATCTGAGAACAGATCAAAGATGATATTGAATAGTTTCGTGAGGATTGAAAAAGACATTGAAGATGTACTAGTTGTGGTAATCTTTGTAAGTTTACGATGATCGGAGATGAATAAGGCAATCTATGAATGTTGTTTGATGTAAGATACCATGGATCGTGCTCCGCCTTTAATACCTTTTCGATTCTCACAAATTCATTCATATCGTTTTCAACTATTCTGAAAGACGAAGATTGGTTACCAGAAAAGAAATTCAGTGCAGCACGAACTTAAATGCAGAAATGAAAGTTTTCCTTATGTAACAAAATCGGGAGTGAGCAACACACCCACACCTTCAAGTCTTTATTTTCATTCCTGTCGACCTTCACCTCTTTATCTAATATTAATACAAAAAATTATTTAATCTTCATTATCAAGAATCTCATTCGGCGTCATCTTCATCAACTATAGTTAGTTATTCACGTTCAAAAAGTAAAGAGTATCAATACCATGTTGTTTACTTTGTTGTTCTTGTCAATTAGCAATTAGTAAGTCTTCTCTATCCGAACTACACGTATTCAAAAGTATTTCTTCTAATGGAACAATAAGTTATCGAGAACATACAGTTTTAATTACATTAAAATGTCATCCTTTACAAACACTAACAAAGTTCTAACTTATCATTATCTATTAATTAATAATAACGTCGACTTGAAGAATCAGCTCCATATATATTTTTAAAAACTTTTTTTTCTCAAATATCCATATTTCCTTTCAGTATCTTCAAAAAATTTTTTCATTAATGGCATGAAAAATAGAGCAAACTATTGATCGTTCAATACCACCTATTGTTATACGGCCTATAAAAAATATGTAAATAAAACAATTGATGCAATGAAATAATTATTTTCAACGTTTTTTCCAACCTGATTATCATGGCATACATTATTTTAGTTGTGATTAAGTATTTTGTCCTACAACAATTTATGACATATGTTGACGATGAATAAATGCCAAATATAAAAATCTAGACAATTATTAACATCAGAAAAATGATCCAACGAATTTAAAATTCGATTGTAAGTTAGAAATATTAATTTGATCGATTGATTGGTTTTTTCATTTTTTAGATAAAATAATTATGTGTATAAATTTAAATAGATTTTGCTCATGTATTTCACTATGAAAAAAGTGAAAAGAAAATTAAGATAATTATTAGGTATGGTATATCTTTCATTGGCAATATTACTGTTATTGTATCATTATTTATAAGAAGAATCCGATTTCTTCTTACAATAGAGAATTTCACACTTTTGTAGGGCTCATATTATATATTTCGAATAAAAATATAGTGAGCGTCACTTTTAAGTCGAAATTTTTGTGACTCTCCCATTTTCTCATAACAAGAAGGGTAAGAATGATTTGTCTTTGTTTCCATAGTAACTGATGACAACAACAGACGTCTGACTCCATTCTCAGAGTTTCTTAGCAACGAAAAAAAGACGTTAAATGGCATGAATAACAAAACTTAGACTGTTCTAACATATTTCAAAACCATCGAAATACCGAAATAAATAAGAAAAAATTATTTCTGTAATAATCAGTTTTCCTTTGAAAGAAATTATAATTTGTGAGCGATTTTCTAGTTGGTGTGTTTTCTTACTATTTAATTTGATATTAATTTCATGTATTCTACTTGCTGTCCATCATCATCCATGGGTTCTATAAGTACTGTAATGAAAAAACGAGATTTCATTACTGTTAGTTGGGAACCATGTAAAGATGATGATTGAAGTGAACTTATTGGTTATGTTGTTGAAAAACATGATGCTTCAAGATATGTTTGACAATGCATTGGACGTAATGATCCACATACATTTACATATATAAACACTGGATTCACTGAAGTTGTTCCATATCGTTTTCACTTATAAGTTCAGTATTGTGTTGGTGTGTTACCAACATTATTAACAATCAATCCGATTATCGCTGAAAGTTCATATAGCGGTTCAGACACACCAGAAGGATCATTATTAAAAGAATTTGTTCCATCCAATTCAGTTAAATATTCATGACAATCACGATTATTAATTGATGAGGATCATACAACATTAATCGATTAACTCTCTCTCAAAGATGTAATATATTAAAATCAATTTGGATTAAAGAAAATTATTCATACAAAAAATGTGTTATTTATTAATTTTTCTATGTACATAAAATGGATATGTCAATAATATTGTCATATATGTCGATTTAGAATAAAAGTTTTACTCTTGGTGAAGGTGCTTATTTAATAGAAATACCATTACAATAGGAAATATTACGTAATGAGGGTGATTGTTCATTAAGAGAATATTTATTAGAAATATGTGATGGAAAAAAGGTAAAGGTGATGAATAGATACAAGTGAAAATTTTATTAGCCATAAAAGCAAGTTTTTTCGAGTAAAAAAATTAAATTAAAATGTCTATTATCATTTTTGTTGTAAAGTAGCAAAGGTTATTGAATATAGTAAAACAAAAGTTGTTAAACCAGAAAAAACAAAATACTAAATTGGAAAATATACTTTCAACAAATGATCAACTCAATAGATTCATTTTTTTTAATTATAAATACATATAATATTCTATCACCATCGAAAAATCCTTTCGTTCAATATATCGTAAGATCAAACATATACGCATTCAAGTGAATTCAACAGTTCGATAAAAATGATGTATCAAACAAAGAACATATACATGAACAGATTTTATAATAAAATTTATCTTATCAATTTATCACTTAAATGTACCTATTGAATCACTAAACATGTTAGAAGCATTAACAATAACATAGGATACCTTAATAGTTAATTGATGTGGAGATTCGTCAAAAACTAAATGCTATATTATTGGAAAACGTGAAGTATCAAATGAAAAAGATTTAAATGCCAATTAGCGAAACAAAAAAAAATAATAAGATATGCATATTGAACATTTTATATATCATATTCAATATGAACCATATATATTGATTGAAAATTCTTCAAATGACACTTCAATCAAACTTGCATCTATAAATCAACTAAGTAACGCCTACCACTGCGATTCGGCTGTAGATAAAAGTGTGAATCTAGGTGTGCATATTGGTCAGTGTCGGTGAAGATGTCAGCGAGGTTATTGGTGTGCGTGCAATGCGTTTTCTTTTCTTTACTATCCAAATAATTATACTCCCACTCGCACGCCCACAACCACATCCACGCACCGTCATACTCACACATTCCACTAATACACACAATCCACCAATACATATCCATGCTTGACATCATATAGCACACTATCACATCCTCAACATCATCCACATCAACATCAAATACTTACAAACACATGAACATCCACACTCACGCTCCTACTTCCATCCACATCAACATTCAACATACACAAAACAGCAAACACCAATAACTAAAACGTCCTCATAACATCCAAAAATCATGTCTGTACCACACAAACATATTGAAATCACCTCCAATCTCACTTCTACACGCATATCAAAAGCCATCCTCGGATCCACACTAACCCTCTCTTTAGTCGAGGGAATAATTGAGCTAGTAATGTAAGTCGACTAGAATCTGGCTTACAATAAATCTAAACGTGATTTCAACTTGACCAGTGTATATTGTTCTTCACGTTTCTCTTTATTGTTCAAAAAATGGATAAGACTTGACAAGTATTCAAGTTTGTCTTTTGAAGTTTTATTTTAAATGATTTCGGATTCATAAAACTTCCTTTTGCTCAAGTATTAGTCAATTGTCAGCATTTTTAATAACCCTATCTCGATAATAATTCCACACATTTAAGAGTTTCTTCATTAATAGTTGATTATCATTGAAGAGTTTTTGATCGCTTGCTAAGCTCCTAAGTTCGTGAATGTTGCTCTATGAATCGATTAGTTTCGCGAACCATGAAACTAATCATTTCATTAGTGATATAATGCCGATAGTGATCAATAGGATTGTTTGTCTTCTCTTTCCAAGTTGTCGTTACTTTTTCGACCGTGTCCTGATCATGCTCGAATTGAGCATCTTATTTTGATTCTGTTTGATTCCTGACTTATAAATCCTTGTCATTATCAGTGACTTCTTCCCCGGAGCTTGTAGATTCAAATTGCATTCCAGCAAAGTCATTATCCAAAGCATTCACATCACTCACGTTAGTGAGGTATCGCTGTCTTTCATATTGGTTTCATCAAACGGCATGTAAAGCATCTCAAAACTTCAGTTGTTTTCACACACACGAGAAGAAAAAGTAAAGGACAATGATATGAAAAGAAGGCACAAGAAAGAAAAAATAAAAATTTCTTTTCGTTGCTTTGTTTACACTGCGTAATACATTTGAGAAAGAGAAAAAACAAACTTGAGTATTTTTTAGTTCAACGTGAAAGAGAATTACCTATTTAATGATACAAACAATAAAAATAACAGCAATTGACAACATTTACTGGAAAGATCAACAAGAGGACATATCCGACAGTGAATGTATATCAAAATGAATCTGTTAAAGCTGTTTTCTAGGAAAATTGAATTACCCTGAATGTGCTAAATAGCTTACAGCAAAAAGATAGTAATACATATTTTTGTTCATTTATTTATTTTATATGGCTTGTCTTAGGAAGCAGAAAGTCAAAAAACAAGTAGTAGTTAATTCGGTGGATGATATTGTTGTATTTGATTAATCAAATCTGAGTAAATAATTTGAATTTGCTGAAATAGCTCAAACAACATCCAAATGATTATAATCTGGAATATATTTCTGATAAACTGAACTTTGAATATTATCAAAAATATAAGATACATGAACTGGATCAGCAACCCAAGTATTACCTGCCCAGAATATTACTGTTAGTATTTTCGTTGAACGAATAGAATATAGTGGGGGTGTTGTTTGATTATAATATAAATGATTTTCTTCTGGTGAACAATAATCATTAGCTTGAAATTTATTTATACGGACACCTTGAGCATAATGAATCATATATTTTACAGATGTACCAGCTGATACATGTGTCAAATAAACAGGAACTCTTGATTGATTCATATTGTTTGTATATGGTTCACATAAACTAAATATAATATTTTCACAGATAGCTCGATCGATAATAATGTTTCCACATGCATATGTTGCAAGGCATTTTGTTATACGGGATGATGAAAAAATTCATTACGGCCAAATAGTAAATGCCAATAAACTTCAATATCTTCTATTAAGAGTGGTGTCAATAAATATTTTATTGGTGACTTAGTATGTCCTAGAGATGGACATCTCCATAGCAACAACTCAAATTAAGATCCCTACACTGTCCACGTAATTCTTGAATTACAATAGTTCAAAAATTACGGGAACAATGTAGGAATCTTAATTTGACTTGTTGCTATGGAGATGCCCGTCTCTAGTATGTCCTAAATGTGCAACAGGTGCTAAAGCTGCTAAAAAACTAACGTTATTTTGTACAACACTATCGTAACGACCAAATTCAGCAAATGCAATCAGTGTTCCTTGTGAATGATCAATATAACCAATTTGTGTATGTTCCTGTTACGTTCAAAATGTAATAAATCATGGATGGAAGATCATCAGGTGCCATATGATCCCAACTAAAATTCTAGAAATGATCCTTATGATAAAGATCGTATTTAGAATTAGCACATGAATAGTAATTTCCATGCATGTTATCCAGTCATATATCATAACCGATATTAGCAAGAATATCACCAAGACTTTGATCAGGAAAATCTATTACCTATGTTGTAGCTGCATCGAGAAGACCATGTTGAAGTAAAATTGGTCATCACGGTTATGATGATGATGAAGAATTTCGACCATGTAGCATACGAAAAACATCCAAAATATAACCAACTTTCGTTAATACTTTATGTTCTTCATATCGTTAACCTTTACTTTGAATTAATTGAGTAATATGAACATCACAATCTAGATCAGGCTGTTCTATTGGTAATAAAGATAGTGATGAATACATTGAAATAATTCGTCAAAGAGTTTCAATTTCTAATACAAGTAATAAAAAAAAATGAATCATTTATTTAAACTTGCCGTCATTTAAAACATATCTACCGATTATCATCTCATGTCAATCTTTTTGCCTTTTGATCTCCATACAGAATTGATGCAAAATAGATCGAAACTAATTTTTTTATTTACCTGTACATATCTGGTGAATAACATGAGAATAATAGTCGTTATAACAGTATGTTGCATGTTTTCTACATTTTAAGTAACCCTATGATCTTTCGACTAGCTATTTATAATACCTGAAAAAAGGTGAATAGATCGACCTCTCAATTTAGATAGATGTCATGAGTATCACAATCCTATTGAGTCACAATTTAACCAGTATAACATTATCAATCGATTGAATTTGAAAAGGAAAAAAAACGTAGATGGGGCTTTTTTTTATTTTACAATTATGTTGAATGGATATAAAGAGGAGTTCAATGGTAAATAAATCGAAACACAATTGGTACATATGATAGGTATGTTATAACCTTGAAATGATTATTTTAACATAGTCTGTTTTAGATGCACCAATTTATTGCATCAAATAAATTGGTAAATTATTTACATCGAAGTTCAAGTAGCTCATTTCTTGAATTAGAACCTGCGTCTTCAAAGTCACCATCATCAAATACATCAATTTTAGTACAACCTAGTTCTAGTTTTATTGATTATTATTCGAATAATTCTTTATATCAACAATTAATTGAAAGTTCACCATTATCATTAAATACATCTTCATCTCAGCAATTAATTACTTCATTAGATTTACATACGCCAATGTCACCAATATCAGAAAATAATTATTCTAATCATTCAACATCAAAAAAAACTTCAACATTAACAACGAATGACTCTATTCCAAACATGTCTTCATCGACTTCAACCTCAATTTCAAAGCGAAAAACGAAATCTATTATTCAATCAAAATCTTCAATTGATCAGTGTAATTCAAAAGATTTATCAAATAAACAACATCGTCTTTCAACATCTCATGAAAATATAAATGATTATGTGTCAAACTATAAGCTTTGTAGTAAATAAGATTTAAAAATTTCTAAAAGACTTCGTAGATATACATATTTCTATATCATATTAGATTTTATCATTCGAATCGAACAAATTCCAAATCTATGGATGATCGACACTACAAATGAAAGACTAGTGAAAGATGATAAAGATAATAAAAACGTATGAGAACAATTTTTATTCTTAATCGAATTTTTATTTTTTTTTTCTTTAAGTCTTTATCAGTAATCAATAAGCAAACAAGTACATCACCTATTCTTCATGGTTTACTAACATCTTCATCAAAATCAGTTGATACTAATTTATTATCCAATATACAATCAACTCATAATGATATTAATGAAGACCGTAATAATAAAAGTCCACAATATCGACCAAGACATTCCTATTTTCATTCATCAGAAACACTATGTATATCAAAAGATAATCTAAATAAGTAAATATCAAAAAGACATAGGACGTAAATTTAAAATCCTTATCGAACAAAAAGAACGACAGAAATAAGTACATGACATTGAAAAAAAAGAAAAACTGAAAAAATATGTAAACTTAAATTTCCATCTGTATTCTATACATGATTGTATTAAAGTAGAGCAGTTTAATGAGTGATATTTTTCTTTACGTTGACAATAAATTGCATCATGATATTATTAGTTAACTATTTAAACAAAAGCAATTGATTATTTTGTTGTTTGCTAAAGGCTATTTTGAAAAAAACTAATATTCTTTTTAAGATGATTATTTAGTAAGTATTGTTAAATTAAAATTTTTGATTAAATTTTCAACCACATAATTCCATAAAAACTTTATTAAGATATTGATTTTTATATTCCTTAAAAGTGTGTTTTAAAATTGTGTCCAATTTTTTTTTTTAATTTCTTCCTTATTTGTACTTAGAAGTAGAGCTGTGTAGAGAAAACCTATCCTGCAGGTAGAGTAAAATAAATACTGAATAGCGTAGGGTTAGAGTAAGAGAAATGTGTCCTAGCACTCGAGGGTCAATCAAAATCTACCCTAGCCTGTAGCACATCATAGAAATAAAATGACAAGAAAATAGGATAGGATACAGGTCGGCATGAAGAAACAATTCATTGAGTACAATAAGTGTTTGAAAAAAATAAATACCTTGAATATTTTTACTTATAAAAGAATTATGAAAGTACAATGATATAAATAGAAGAAAAGATATAACTGTGTTATTTGTAATTGATTGTTATAGTGTCAATATGACATAAATATCTATGAATAAAAGAAAAAAATATTCGAAAGATGATTAATAAAATTACTATTTTCATTTGTTTAATATTTGTTAGAACATCAAAAATGTCTCGTCAAGTATGTCGTTCACCTGTATTTACACGACGTCCACAATCACAAAAATACAAAATAATGGACAATAATTTTGATACAACACATCAACCAACGGCTTTACTTTCATTAGATACAAATGAAAGTACTTTACTAACTAATGATGATATGGATAATCAATTATTTAATGAAAACCAAACTATAAATTCCCTATCATCATCATCGTCATCGTCATCATCATCATCATCATCATCATCATCATCATCATCAACAGTAACTAGTAATAATAAACGAAAATTTGAATCTTCATCATCAGAACAAATTTTAGTAAAACGTCGTTATCCAAAAACAATACCAAGTAACTTTTGTTTTCTTAATTATTTTCTCAAATGAAATAGTTTCGTATTATTCATACTATTTTTTTTCCTCATAGTAATTATTACACAAAATCAGCTTTGTATATCATATCCAAAGGATATTTCATGGTGTATTGATTGTCGAACAATAAATCCATTAGATTTATCTATGCAACAATCTAGTTGCCGATTTCAACATTGTCGAACGTAAATATTATATTTAATCTTTTTACACTATAAAATATTCAACTCTTCCCGGTGCAATAGAATACCTTGGGTCGTCTCTGATATTCAAGCCTACAAAATTTCCATGGAGATTTTTCATTATGTTTCACTTATTTGCATAATTTTTCAATAAAAGAATTTTCAGCTATAGTCTCTGGAAACTAATCATATTTTGACATAAATAAACTCATTAAAGTTACAATTGTTCCACAAATTTATTAATTAAGGGAGGAAACTTTCTATGGTGGGGAGTTACTTTTTTATGTTTCGACGAATGCGATAATATTGTCTGAAGATATTATTACCACAGAAGATAGATCTCTTAAGAAAAAAGCAGAAAGCATGATAGTAAATAGCAGAGGGATAATTTTCATTTCGATCTTGAAAATATACGGTATGTTTGAAGTAAAGAATAAGAATCTCTTGAAATCTATACAACGATTGAATAATTGGACATAAATAAAAGTCAATGTTTGAATTTAGAATGAAACCTAATATACTTTTAAATATAAAATTAAATACGATACTTGAGAATACTGAAGATTCGAACTCTCTAATATTAATATTTTAGTTTAAAACTAAAATGTTCTTCTTTGAAGTTAATCGTATTTAGTTATTATGATTTAAATATCTTGTATAATGGAATATTTTTATTACGAAGGAACGTTTTCAATTTGAAAATCACTTGAGAGTTCGAACTCTGTGCACAAGGTAGACGTTAATGAAGTATTAAAAAAAACCTTAAAAAGATTCGAGCACCTTAACTATTCCTACAAAGCTATAGCCGTTTAGCTGAAATTTTAGCCTATAGCATGGTATGTACGAAACAATCAAATGACAATATTTCGATCTGAAATTATACTCATAGATAGGCCTACTTGCAACTAAAATGTCCTGAAAATTCTAGCTGAAAAGAACGTTTTCTTTATGGAATAACGAATTTAACAAAAAAAACAACATGAAATTCTCGAATCTTTAATGGAATATGAATGATTTGTTGGGGATTCAGTATCTCGCCAAGGAAAAAGCCTTTGGCACTGAACTTCTTAAGAAACTCTAGTCACTAGTAGGTGCAAATTTGGGTGAATTTTTAAGTCAAAATATTGCCATTCGATTCTTTTGTACATGCAGTTCTAGAAGCTAAAACTCCTACCTTATGCGTGAAAAACGAACTCAAACGTAATTCCCAAGTTGAGAATGTTCCTCCGTCAGTATCACACAAAATGACTTAAATTGATTGCTTTATTTCATATAAAGTAAACTGTCATAATATCCGTGCTATTGATCTAAAAAAATATCAAATATTCTTTACTAAAACCTTACTCATATGAATTTAGATTGAAATATTTTGGTGATGATAAATACGAAGTCGAAGGATTTATAATAGTTGATAAAGCCAAATCGCAAGATACTAAGTATTTACTTACACCAAATTCTGGTAAAATAAAACATTATCTTTTTAATGCAAAAAATAAAATAAAATAAAAACTTTTTTTAAATATAATTAGGTGGACAACCACCATTAAATATAATCAGTGCAAAATATATATTTAAACAAATAGGTAAATTATTTTATTCAATGTTTTTACACGAAGAAGCTCAACGATCAAGACAGAACAAAAGTAAAATAAAATATTTGTTTATTTTTTCTTAATATAAAATATATATAATTAATCTTTATTATTCATAAAAGAAGCAATTATTTGGAAACCATATATGGCTGGTTGGAGAGAAGTTTGTGATCAATGTTCAACAACACTTTTTAATTATCATTATATGTGTAAAGAATGTGGATACATGCTTTGTATTGAATGTTCAAATGAATTAACTCAAATAAATACTGAAAAACGAAAAAGTATTATTTCCATATAAAGATAAGTCTAGGGATTTTTTTTATTTTAATTTAGAATTTAAACGTATTTGTACTCATGTTAACACATACTGTTTATCAGAATTTATTCCATGGGATAGTAAGTTAAAAAAAAAAAGAAAAAGAAACAAAGAACTTTTTTTTTCCCCTTATTCTCTAATTATACGTTTAGTTTTAGTTAAATTACGTAATGATTGTATTAATTATTTATCGAAATTAAAAATTGATTATTCAATGAAATTTTATCCATCGTCAAGAAATGAAAATTTATCAATGTTTATAAAAACTTTAAAAATGAATCGATTACATGGTATACGCAATGTAAAAATAATTTGGTCTTCTGCTGATTGTAATCACGATCCAAATATTGAATTTTATTGTAATGGTCGTTTACCTGTTTTTAATGAATGGACGAGTGAGAATGCAAAACGTGTATGTAGAAAGATTAAAAAAGAAAATTTATCTTTCTATTTTGATTTCGATTTTTCTTTAAAAGTTTTTTCGAAAAGTTTGGGCAGCTAGTTGTCCAGTAATTGTTAAACAAGTTCATCATAATTTATCGAAAACACTTTGGCATCCAAAGTCATTTAAATTACATATGATTGATCATCATGAAACACCATTATTATGGGATTGTGAAACTTTATCACCAGTTCAAACTAATGAAGGAATTTTAATCCGTTTTTGGGAAGGGTTTGAACGTTTAAATGGTAAATTTAATTTAAATCTATATAATCGAAATTAATTTTTATAAATCATGAAATAGTTCGTTTGAAAAATAATGAAAATGGTGGACGACGACGTATACTTAAATTAAAAGATTGGCCAACAAAAAAAGATTTTGCATCTGTTTTTCCAGAACGTTTACATGATCTCATGAATAATATTCCGTTTGGTAAGTGAATATAATTATTTTTATTCATGATTTCATTTACGTCTTATTCAGATGATTATACTCGACGATCGTATATATATAATGGTGTTGCTTATCATGGTGGAGTTTATAATATTGTTGAACGATTACCAACTTGTTTAGTTAAACCTGATCTTGGACCAAAACTTTATATTGCTTATAGTAAATTTTTAATATTGTTATAGTAACCTATAGAGTGAAAGTCTTGCGACAAAATATTCATGCGTTTTCGATCAATCGAAGACAACTGATTACAGACAGCAGCAGTTAATTAGAATGAGATTTATTTTTGCTATTTTCGAATATATTTTCAAATTTTCTGTTTGAGATAAAATTGAACTACGATAAGTAAATTTTGTAAGAAGGTTCAATGTTTTGTCTGTTAAAAGTCAAATAGCGATTTTCAGAGTAGTCCTTGTTTTTCGTTTTGCAACAGCTACAACTCACAGTTATTTCCGAGCACTGAATTGTATACCGTATGAGATGTCAGTACAATAGTAAAAAATCATATTACTCAAAATCTATGCGTTTCTATTAAAGAATTAGTTTCTATGTAAATTAGCATTGGTACAAAAAAAAATGACTGATTCAAAAACCCCATTTCAAAATACAAAAGTTGTAAAATCTGGGATGCAATATAAAATAAGAAAAAATCGTATGCCTTGTAGAACAGACTTTGCTCTACAAAACTGAACGATTAAAACCTATATGGTGTTTTCAATTTGATAGATTTTAATTGAAATGCTAAAATTAATGAAATTACTATTTTGTATAACCTCTATTTTGCAATTTTCGAAATAATCTGATAATAGTTGACCAATCTTATGCTAAAAAAAAAGAAATTCTAAACATATTCTTAAAGAATGAAAAATTTTAATTTTAACTCACTGCTTCTGACTTCGATCAGATGTTTTTAAGTAGCCGAAAAGTGAGTGAACAGTTTTGCATCATATCTTTTGCACTTTAGGCTATTTACTGAATAACTGTGCTTTTCTCTTCTTTCGTTATGTATGAATATTATTTTCAAAATATTCTAGGCCAACTTACAAGTCGAGAAGCAAAACAAGCCGGAACAACTAATCTTCATATTGATGTATCTGATGCGGTAAATGTTCTTGTCTATGTTGGTATAGGTGGTCATGGTGATGATGGATCTGATAAAGAAGAAGAAATTCGACGTAAATATGAAATAAATAGAAAATATCGTAAAACTAATTAAGAAAAATGATTTATTTTATTTACTACAGAAGTAGAAGCAGAAATTCTTGATTCAAATATTGATCAAGCTCAATTACAACGATTAAGAAATGGAGAAAGACCTGGTGCACTTTGGCATTTATTTCGTTCTGATGATGTAAAAATAATTCGTGAATATATTGGTCGAGTATGTTTGTTTTTTTTTTTTCTTTGTCTAATTTAATCTATTCTAATATTTCTTTTTTCTTCTTAGACTCAACGTAAATCTGCTGGTTCTGATTCTATACATGATCAAACAACTTATTTAGAACGAGAAGATTTAGAAAAATTAAAAGATGAAAGTAATGTAGAAGCATATTCAATACTTCAATTTCTTGGTGATGCAGTTTTTATTCCAAGTGGTGCACCACATCAAGTAATTAATGAAAATATGTTTTTTTTTCTTTTTATTGAAATATTTTTATTCATAAATTCAATCATAAATCTTATATTATAGGTAAAAAATTTACATTCATGTATAAAAATTGCTGAAGATTTTGTTTCACCGGAAAATCTTGATCGATGTTTAATAACAGCAAATGAATTTCGATCATTATCTAAAACACATACAAATCATGCTGATATCTTGCAGGTTAGATTTGTATTTGTTTTTTTTTTTGCTAAAATTAAAATTTAAAATTCATTTTGATATTTTATAGGCCAAGAACGTTCTTTATTATACAATACGTGATGCAGTAAATTCGTTGAACGAATCAAATAGAAATGAAACCATATTAGAATCTTCCATATTAGGTGTACTTAATTAACTTGTTTTTCTCAGTAGTTATTTCTAATATTCTTCAATGCATTTGTTGAAAAGAAATCTTATTCTGATGGATGAGACACGTGCTATCTCTCTTTTTTTTCTTTCGATATGTGAGTCGTTGTCTCATATCTGTTGCTGTTTTTTTTTGTTGCTTTTGCTTCGAGTTATGTTTTCTTTTTTTTTGTTCAGTTGATACTACCTGAGTTTTTATATATACACAGTTTTTTTTTGTTATCGTTAGAGTTTTATTATCATTCAAGTTTTTCTTTTATGAATGTCTAAACAAACAGATAACAACAGGTATGTTTCTTTTTGCGCTTGTTTGTATAGTGTACATTGCGAAAAGATTTTGTCCTGTATATTGTCTCGTGATTCCATGATACATTACGTGTTGCTCTTTTTTTTTCTGTTTTTTTTTACAAATCTTGAGAAGAAATTTTAGTGAGTAGAAGAATAATTATTATTTGAAAATTACATTCTTGTTATCATTCAACAAATCATTGATATGACAAAAGCATGGAGATTAGTTACTTACGAGAGAACTACTCTAACTATTCTTCACCGTTTGAATTCATATTGGGTTCACAAAAAGGTCTCGGTATGACTAAACCAAGTATAAAAGAGTTCGTTCTCAATGATCTTTAAATTGTGTTACGGTTGTTTTACTAAATTTTCGACCTATGTTGAGGTATTTGTGAAAAATTTGAATAATGGAGTTTTGACTTGTGATTTTGCCTGTAGGAAAGAGCGAATAACGTTTAGAATATTCCGTCGGCAACATAGTATGTTTTCAAATAAATCCGATTTTTACCAAGCGTCTGTGGTAAGTGACTACTATTTGAAATTTCAATATCTCGACAAAAAAAAAAACATTCTTTTAGACTACAGCTTTCAGGATATTCTAAGGGTCATCGAACCTATCGATGGACAAAATGTTAGATTGAAAATTTCGCTTTTCTTTTATGCAAATATCTAAATCTGAGTCATAGATTCAGTAAAACGACTATACTTGAGCTTCACAGGTCATTGAAAACGAACTTGTTAGAGTTTTTCTGTTTCTTAACCAGACCTCTTAGTAAAACCAATATGAGTTCAAATAATAAAATATAGCTGATGTAGTCCTCTCGTAAGCAGAAAAAAAAGATTATGACATCAAAACATTGATTTTTTTATGACTACAGTAGTCATTTTTGCTCTGAATCAATTCGCAGATAAATTATGCTGATAGTTCAAGAGAACGACGAAGATAAATGAGCTAATTTGGTTTGAATTCAGTATCAATATCAATATTAGTGAAGCTCTTTTAAAAACATCACAAAATATCAAATGAAATAGGCAAGAACAATATTTTACATTATTCTATTTTTATATAATAAACTCTTTATTATTATTATTATTTGAATAATTAAATGTCTGAAAAAGTACTTAAATAATAAAGATATTAAATAAAGTCAAAAATTTATATATACATAAGGTTTTCATTAGGTATTTCAACCATCATATATGCATTGATGGATTAGTGAACAGGATCATGATAATCGATATGTTAATACAGAATAATCTTTGTAGAAAAATAATTTCTTAAAATATCGTTCATATACACATTTTTCTTTCTAAACATCATCAAAATCTATGAAAGAAGATAAAAAACTCGTTTTCTTCTAGAAAAAGTATGAAGAAATTGATTAGCATCTTCTTTTGGTTCAAGTACTGCTTTCAATGAATGTTTTTTAACTAAATAAATCCAAACAGATTCTTTTTTTTGCAAATGAATACAAATTTTTTTTTTCTTTTATTTACTTGAATTATAACTTGATGATATTAATAAACATTGTTCGGGTGGTGAACAATTTCGTCCAGAACTTATATCTTTAAGGTCACAACGTTCTATAAATTTACTATCAGCTAAGTGACAATGTTTATCAAGGATTGCAATATTTTCTTGTTGATCTTGATTTTTAGTTGCAACAATATCATTATAAAGAAGAGACTTGCGCTTAACTTGTTTATCGATTTCGCCATCTTTAGATCAATATAAAAAGAAAAAATCAAGATCTATTTGAAAAAAATCAGAAAAAAAAAGTCGTCCATACTTCTACATTTTGTTATAATCAATTTGAATAAAAATAAATAAATAATAAGTAAACTAAAAATAATTTTGTTCATATTGTTTTATTCAACAGTTTTTACTATTATCAGAGTTTTTGATTTATATGTAACGTGTTATTTCGAACATTCAACTCGGAAAATATCTAACGATAATTGCCGTCTGTTAGTTTTTATTGTGTTGGTTTTCTTATTTTCTCATGCGAAAAAGACAGATGTGTACAGCTAAAAATAATGCATATTAACTTCCGGGATTGTCTGCTATGATGAGGAGATAAATTCATTCCGTATATGTCTTTGTAATACAGTCGTAGCAAATACTAATGAAGCGTTAAATGTATGTTACTTCTGTTATTTGAAATGCTAAATATCAGCATTACAAACTCATAAACAATGCTGTATCGAAATGTTTTTCAAAAAAAATATTAGCTAAAATGTTTAGTTTCGGTGTCATAACATTTAAACAAAAGACAATCAATCATCTGATATTATTGTATTGTCATTTGTATTCAAAGAGTTCAGAATATTTTTTTATCTATTTTATTTCAAATATTTGAACTATTTCAATGATGACATCAATAGTAGAAATTAAAGACTTTTTTTGGCAACGCTTGTTCTTAACATTATTAATGGACATTTTTTTTTGTCTACTTTTCACAACGGCAATCTAATTCGTATCAATAAAGATTTCTATTAATGTGTTATATTAGTTAATATCTTGACATTATGTTTCAATAATTTTTCTCCAGATGTCTATGGATGACAATGATTTATATACATATATATATAGATCGATCTTTTCGTTCGTTTGATTATGGATAAAGTCAAACAAATAAATTTTTATTGAAAAAGTACTTTTCTTAATCATCGCAAATCATGCATAATCATTTAAGTATGTCATAAGAAAAATGATTTTATTTTCTATTATGTGCTAATTTATAATAAAATGGATTGATAAAAAATTTCAATAGATATTTAATTCTTATATTTCTTCGATGTTTCATCATCTTTCTTATCATCTAAAAAGATTACAATATGATCTAAATCGAAATTTACATTTATCTTAATGTAATCATCATTCTCAACACTCGACTATTTCACATACAAATTCATTTGATTATCGTTCACAATTCCCAAATGAGAAAATCATTCGTGAATCAAATTCAACATTTTACGATTTTAACTAATCATAATATAAAGCTCTTTCGGTCAGTATTTATTTTATTGTCTTCTATTATCTATTTATCACATAATATTATTACGTTTTGTAGTTTAAACCTGATCATCAACGAGCACGACGTAGTGGTGGATGACCTTGTAATTATCATGACAATTCATCATCATCATTACCAAAACGAATAATCAATTATGATCTAACTGAAAGTTTTACAGATCATTCAACAAATTCATTATTATTCGATTTATATAAAATTAAATTTAAACATTCAAATAAAACATGGTCAAATGATTAAATTATAAAGAAAAACTTGATAAATTAGATAGAAATATAATTGAAATAAGTTGTACATGTACTTTTTCTATTGTTCCTAAGAGAAAAAATAAATACAAGAAATAAATCAAAATAAACGAAATAATCAACAACATGTTACAGAGACAACATCATTATTAGTCTTATTTGATTCAATTGTTCAAGAAGAAAAGTAAAAACAAATTAATCAATAAATAAATTTTTATGTTAATTTATTCGATGGTCGAAGAATTTCTCAAGTATGAATATAAGAAAAAAATCTAATCTTCATTTTAAAGTAGTTCGGTTGTTCATACATGCAATTTTTTCAATTGTAACTATGTATCAAACTATTCGATTTTATTTGCTGTTTTATAATTCTTATTTTAAGATCGAGAATAATCTTCTAACCATAGAACTCTCATAAGAAAGAGTAAAATCTGTATTATAAGAATAGTATTTTAGAATTAATTAGACATTATCAAGAAAACTACAAATATATTAGAATTCATTCTAACAAAAGTTTTGTCTTCAATTTTTTTTTCTTATTCTCTCAAATAATAAAAATCCTTCAAATTTTTGAAAACATATATAACAGAATATTTCAAGCGTATACTTTGTTTACTGAATTAATCAATCATTATTATATTGATTTCATGTATATGACTATTAGTTTTACTATAAATTGAAAGAAGTTTCATATTAGAAAATTTATCTTTAGATTTTTCGTTATAACAGAGAATAACCAAAAAAAAAGAAAATTTTTTGTCAAGTTCGTTTTGAGAGTATCATTTTCATTCCTATTACATTTGAATCAATATATTTCTTCGTAAATTAATTACTTATATAAAATTGAGATATATGAAGCTCATTAGCATATTCTCGTAGGAAAGAATCTCAACAAGTATTAAATTACTTTTAAAATAAGTCTTAGTTTATTAGGTAGACCTTATATTAACACTACAGAATGTTTATATTCATGGATGTTGCTTCTGTAAGTCATAGACTTCTCAACAAAATGTTGCGTTTCTGCTTCAGATTATGTTCAAGATCGACTTTTAGATCCTAAGTTAAAATATTTTACAAGACTATTTCAAAGTGAAAATATTGAATTTTTTAGTGTCTTCTATCCTAAGATATAATAAAAGAACACAATTTGATTTTTTATGCAAAAAAAAAAAAGAACTTTCAATATTGCTCTCTGTAGATAAAACAAACTAAAAAGTATGATCATGTGTTATTGAACTAGTTCTATTAAGAACTTTATTTGTACAAAGTTTTAACTTAAGATTCATTTGTCTAGTCTCAATAGAATCTATCTAATAAATTAAGATTTATCTCGCAAGCAACTTATCACTTTGCAAAGTTCTTCCATTATTTTCTTTTTGAATATTATAAGTAGTAATGCTCTAACCGACTTAATATTATGTTGGTGAAAACATTCATTTAATTGTGTATCTATGTTGAATTCTTTTTAAATAATTATTATCGATTACTCAAATAAAAAGAAAACGAATTTTACTCTTAATTCAACATCATTATCGACTTCAATTTCATTTATATTGAGTGAAAATTCTAAAGATCATCAAAATATTTTTCTATATTATTTGCTCTTGTTGAATATGTTTATCCAAAAAAAATAATATTCTCTTGTGTATATACGTCACAAAAGTTTTACTTGTTTTTTTTTTATTTTTATATTATATTGTATTGCAATACATACATATTTAGTGGTTCATTGATTTATCAGATTATATTCATTATGTTTATGTTCTATATCACGAACTACGTATATTTAATTGGGAACTGTTTTTTGTAATATTCTTTGTCAAAATAGCATAGATAATTACTGTGATATGTAAATTATTTCGAGTTTTGAAGATATCATTCCAATTAGTATACGTAAACATTATTTTACGTGAAAAAATTTCATTGAAATAAATAAATTAAATAGAAATATGTGTATTCTCCTATATTTAGAATAACAGCTTATACATGTATAAAATTCCTTTCGTTATTTCTTTTTTGTTATAGAACTGCCTTTCATATTTTTCTTATAGAGTATTTATTTCATAACTTTTTATGTATTAGACTTTATCGAATAACGACAATTGATTTGATTATATGGTTTTAAAATATTGTTCTAGTTTATTTCGATAATATTCTTTTCCTTTTTTTTTTCTAATCAAAATCATCTAGTAAAAACCAGATCTGATGAGTTGAGAATACAAAATAGATTACAACGGAATTTTTATAAAAGCAATTTTTCATGTGTAATCATTTTTATTACAACAATAATAATATTAAAAGAAAAAAAAACATAGTACATAGTTGATTACATTCATTCTTTTCAATTGAATACTTTTTCACTATATACTATCAACGAAAATTACTATCTTAAATATTCAAAATGATTAGAATAGAAATTTTAATAAACGAAACATACTGTTTATTGAAAAATACATTCATACTCTATATACACACATATATTTTCACCTACACATACTGAATAATATGTATAACATTATAATTAACCATCACTTTATGTTTACATTGAAGTAAATATAATAAGAATACTTTCGATAATTTCAACAAGCTATGATTGAAAACTCAATTAAATTATCTTTAATGATATATTATATTATATCCTGAAGATGTCACCATTCAACTGTCAACATATATTTATTTTATATAATAAAAATTTTTAAAATATATCATCATTTTGATTATAGAAAAGATTATAAATATTAAGTTAGTATGAGTGTAAATAATAATATTTCTAAAAAAAAAAATTTCACTCAATATTGTTTTAACTTTTTTATGTATACCATCAATGAGGCTATTAAATGATCCGGTTGAATGGCGATCATTAGAAGAACGCATGATCCAGTCAAAATGAAGTTCTTTGTTTATTACTGCTAGCATCGTTTTTTTTTCCTTCTATTTTTTTTTCTCTTTCGGCTCAAAATATCATGAGTCAGGGATAAATAAACTATGAATAAGTCAAATATTAATAAGTTTTTTTTTTATATATATACGTAAACAATATATATTTATTTTACTTTAGATCATCACACGGATTGATCATATCAGCTAGATTTGTAATCCACATTGTCATATAAATATATATATTCACAATCGATTTGACGTTCTTTTATCTGTGTCGTTGCTGACCAATTTTTATTTATCATTTTCATTCAATTCCTTAATATTGTCCTGCTTCTTTTTTCTTTTACTATTTTACTTACAAAAAAAAAATTTTCTCCTTCAACTATTGTATTTATCAAGCAGTACTAACGATTTAAATCTGTATTTTTTTTTTGGTATGTAAAATTTTTTTTTGAAAATAAAAAAAAACAAAACAAACTTTATATGCATATATATATAATTCTTTTCTTTTCTTTTTTTTTTTGTTCATATAGAATATGTTATGTTAAATAAAAATGAAATGCTATTATAATTATGGAATATTATCAATATATCTATAATATACATGATGATGCCAGCAATGAACGCTTATCGCGATCCAATCGAGGCGCCTCTTCGTAAATTAAGTGTTGATCTCATCAAAACATACAAACATATCAATGAGGTAAAATCTTATTCTTATTCAATCATCTACATATATCTATACATAAATTACATGTTATATAAAATATTCGTTATTCTTCATATATATATATATAGATCCTTTTTCTCCCCTTTTCGTTCTGCATGATGATGATGATGATGATGATGATGATGATATACAAGTAAACGTATTCGTGATGCGTAAAAAAATGAAAAAAAAAAAATAGAGGACAAAACAAAAATGATTATAACGATGATATCTTTCTATGCGTACGCTTTCTTTTTTTTTTTTTCTCTCTCATTCTTTATGTATAACACATCGAATATTTGATTGTATGATGGTCGAATGCATCGTCTTTCGGGTCATCTAAATATACATTAAGAAAAGATATGACTGAGCGTATATGATGCAATTCAATGACCGTGAGCATCATTGATGTGTGTTAATCTATAAAGAAGAGAACATCAGCTGATGCATATATATTATTCTTCAAATCTTATTCATTTCTAGTATATATATATATATACCTATATATGTGTGTACGATATCCTTTAAAGTATAATAATTAACCTTGATGTTCGAGGCTTGTTGTTGACACTTTTTGTCGCGATATGGTCTGGCTGCGTTAACGACGACTTTTTTTTTCGGTGTAGATTTTCCTATCCTTCTTCTTCTTTTTCTTTTTTATACTTTATTTACGAGTCTGTGAGCATAAAACAAAAAAAAAGCATAACGATGCAATACGTACAAGTTCCTCCTTATAGTACTGAATGGGTAGCACCATTTGGTTATGAACAATTTTATTCTAACAATGCGAATCGTCAGCATCAACTTTCATCAAATGCAAGTAGTCTTACCGATGGAAGTTCAGCATATGGTAGTTCAACTAGTTATCTATATGATATTGTACCACCAGCTACAGGCCGAATATCACCTGAATTACAAACAAATTATGAAGTATTAATTAAATTACCTTTTCTTTTTTTATTTTTTTTTATAGTTTTATTTTATTTTGTTTTGTTTATTTAATATGTTTTTAGTTGTTTAATTATTTTTATTTAGGTTTATTATGCAAAAAAGAAAAAACGTAGTAATAATCAAGTAATTGAAGATAATAATGGTTTATATAAAAAAGAAAAACGAAATTTAAATGATGGTTTTGATGATGAAAATCATGATTATATTGTACGACCAGGTGAAATATGGCTTGAACGATATACTATTGATTGTCTTATTGGAAAAGGAAGTTTTGGACAAGTAAAATAGAACGAAATATAAAATCAAATTTGGAACAAAACTTATATATGTATATATATTTAGGTCGTTAAGGCATTTGATCATATTGATGGTGAATATGTTGCTATAAAAATAATTAAAAACAAACGACCATTTCTTTCACAAGCACAAATTGAAGTACGTCTTCTTGAATTAATGAATCAACATGATATTGATAATAATGGTTACATTGGTATGTATAAAATATTATATTTAAATTAGAATTATTAATTTTTTTTGTTTTTTAAAGTTAAATTAAAACGAAATTTTACATTTCGTAATCATTTATGTCTTGTATTTGAATTATTATCATATAATTTATATGATTTATTACGTAATACAAATTTTCGTGGTGTATCATTAAATTTAACACGTAAATTTGCATTACAATTATTATCGGCATTACTTTTTCTATCTCAACCTGAGCTTAATGTACTTCATTGCGGTAAAATATTTTGAAACCAAAAAAAAAAATTATATAAATATATAATAAATAGATCTGAAACCTGAAAATATTCTTTTGGTTAATCCAAAACGATCAGCTATTAAAATTGTTGATTTTGGTAGTTCATGTCAAATTGGTCAACGTGTATGTTTTTCTTTTTTTAAATATAAAATTATATACATATATTCTTTTATAGCTTTATCAATATATTCAAAGTCGATTTTATCGTTCACCAGAAGTATTACTTGGTATTCCATATGATATGGCTATTGACATGTGGAGTCTTGGTTGTATTCTTGTTGAAATGCATACAGGTGAACCATTATTTAGTGGTACAAATGAAGTAAGTTATTTAATAAATATTAAGAAAATAATATAAACAAACAAATATCTATTTAGTATGATCAAATGATGAAAATAGTTGAAGTACTTGGTATGCCACCGACTCATATACTTGAACAAGGAACAAAAACTAAACGATTTTTTGATCGTTTACCAGATAATACATGGATACCACGAAAAAGTAAAGAAAGAAGGGTAAGAAAATGAAATAATTTGATATTTTATTCGTTATTATATATATATATATGTTTATCTAAATAGTATCGAGCACCAGGAACACGTAAATTACATGATATACTTGGTGTTGATGTGGGTGGTCCTGGTGGTCGTCGTGCTGGCGAACCTAATCATTCCGTATCAGATTATATTAAATTTAAAGAACTTGTTCAACAAATGCTTGAATATGATCCAAAACGACGTATATTACCATTTAATTCATTACAAGCTAGTTTTTTTAAACGAACATATGATGAAACATCAACAATGAGTCATCCATCATCATCAACAACAACAGCAACAACAAATGTTTTATTAACAAATACAAATAATAATGGTACAAATAATGTTAATAGTTTATTACAACAAAATAATGCTATTATTACAAATCATACAAATATTCCTTTATCATCGAATCTCAATTCGAATGGTTCACCTAATCTTGATCCAAGTAAGTTAAATAAAAAAAATTGAACAAAAATAACTAAAAATAAATAACAAATCATGTTAATGTCTTCAGATGTGAGATAATGAGTACTATTATAAACTATTTAGGATTTTTTATATTTTGTTTATAGAGCATATTAATTTACATCAAGTAAAGCCAGACGCTCGAAAAGTGATAAATACTACTACTAATCATTCATATATAAATGGTCGGAAATAAGTCGAGTTCTTCGTGTTTTCTTTTTCTTGTACGTTTTTTTTTTCTTATGTAGTAATAAAAAAAAAATAGAGAACATCTATGCACGTTGCTTAGCATAACATAAAATATTCTTTTTATCAATCAATTGAACAAAAAACAAAATTATTTGTTTTTTTTTTCGCTAGCTAATGAGTTTATAATGCTTGATTTTCCTAAATTAATTCGATATTTGCCTTTTCTCTTTTGAGGCAAGGTGAGTAATAAAATTGCCTCTTTTATTTTTGCATCATGATATCCTGTTTGTTTTCTGGTATTAAAAATAATTTTTTAGTTTTGTATTTTATTTGGTTTTTTTTTTTCTTTTAATTTTAAATTTTTAGCTCTTCGTTATCGTCAAGATTCATATCGTCATATAATTGAAACAGTTCCATCAACAAATCAACCATCACGTGCAAATCAGCAGTATCCACCACCTAATCTTTGGCAACCAAATGATTCAACAACTCAACAACAAATATTTATGCAAGGTATTCAAAGACCATTTCCAGGTTTAGCTTCATCAGTTCAACAACAATCATCTAATTCATCTATAACACAATTAACAAATGTTAATCAAATTGGTATGCCAACATCATCATCATCTTATTTAACTAATTATCCAAATGTTGTAAATCAAACAAATAATACAACATATATTGATGATCCAACAAATATAAATCGTCATTTTTCAAATATTGATACTAATTTAACATCAATTGATCTTAATGTACCAACACAATTTCAAACAAATAATAATTCAACGAACAGCTATTATCCTTCTCAGCGAATTCATACATCACCGTCCGCAACAGCATCATTTCCACAATTCTTTGGTTATGTTCCACCTAGTTTTAATCATCATCATCATTTATCATCGAATGTTGACGATGCATCTTTGCTCATTCAAAATCCTAGTTTGACTTGATCGTTCATATTTATATACATACACATTTCGTTCATTTTTTTTTTCCTTTTGTTTCATGTGAGTCAAAAAAGAAAGAGAGAGAGAGAGAGACAGGAAGAAATAGAAAAACATACACAATCCTATACTATTGCTAAATGCTTGTGTTGGTCGACTGTATTTTGTTTTTTTTTTTTGTTTTTGTTTTTCTTCTTTTAATTTATTGTCAAACTGTTGGTTTTCTTTTCTCTTTCTCTATTGCGTTATATGCTCGCAGTGATCTTCATTTCTCACGATAGACAACAGTTTTTCTTTTTCTTTTCTTTTTTTTGTTCCTGTGGTTTTTTTTTCTTCTTGCGCGTTCATATCTATTGCGCTAGAATATGTGAGAAGTTGAGGAACATAGCGATGATTCTTAGCACTCTTTTGTTTTGTTTTCTTTTTTTCTTTTTCTTTTTTTTGTATTTCATTGTAAATAGGGATTATTACTGATGTAACACGTTTTTCATTCGGATATATATATTCTAAGAAAAACTATATAAGGGATATTAAAACAATATTAAATTGATTGATGCAAGATTCTTCCGTTTATTATAATATTAAAAAAAAAACAAACGAGCGTTCTTGGACATGTATACAGGTAGATTAGGGTTGAAAAGGGATAATAACCTTGAAGATAGATAATGATCGATTGCGTGCGCTTTTAAGTGGGGTTTTTTCTTTTCGTTGGGCTTTTTCCTTCTTCTCTCTCTTTGTCTCACTCACGTGTTTGTATAGTTTTGTATGACGCTTGCGAAGTGTGTTTGTGTGTGTGTGTGTGTGTGTAAACAAAGAATTTTGAATACAAGCAAACGAACAACAAGAACTGAAAAAAATAAGGAAAAATCGTTAAAAAAAATTGTTTTTTTTTCTGTTCTTTCAAGATGAGATAAGAGTCCATACATTCATTTACAATAATGTTTTTACTAATCATACTTGTCAGCTATATTTTGGGTTGTGTATCGACAATAACTTTACTATTATATTTATATACACAGTATGCATTTTCTTCACCAATAACACTTAATGAACAAGAAGAAGAACAGTATCAAACATTTCATCCATTGCCTGAAGTAAGTTAATAGAATTTAATATAGTTTATATCTGTATGTTTATTTTAATTATAGAATGAACGTGCTAACAATTCAGCTGTTGATGCTGTTAATTATCTATTCCAATTTTTATTTCAAGAACTAAAAGATAGTTCAGGATTAAGACGGTATTTAATGCATAAATTAAATACAGAATTTAATGAATTAAAAAATAGTCGAACAGGAAAAATATTTCTTCAAAATATTGCTGTTTGTATTTTATTAAATGAATTTCAATAAAAATTCTAATGACAAATTTATTTTAGATACAAGATTTTTCAATCGGAAAAGAATGTCCAGTATTAAGAGATATTAAACTTGAACATCAAGAACGTGATGAACGTAATCTGATTAAAGTAAAAAAAAAAAAAAACTTTCAATACTTTTGAGGATTCTAAACTGAAAAAGAAATGTTATGTGATACATAAATCTTTATTTGGATTATAAAAGTTTCATTCATCTATGAAAATTTGTTCTTTTTGTTTTTATTTTTTATTTTTCTTATATCCCTTAGTATCAATTTTCAATGTATCATATATCCAACTTTCGTTAGATGTAATTAAAAACTTTTTCTTTAGGAATTTGTTGCTATTATTGATGCTGATTATAAAGATGGGTTTTCTGTTACACTTGATGTAACATTATCATTTGGTCCTAAATGTCAAATATCTATTAAAGTTAAACGTATTCAAGGACGTTTACGTTTAGAATTTCGACGTGAACCATTTTGTCATTGGTTATTAGTTTTTAAAGATGAACCATTTATTGAATTTGATGTTAAATCTATTTTTGCTGCTGGTGAAAGTCCACATGTAGCACAAATAATTACTCAACAATTAACTCGTGCTATAAAACGTAAACAAACATGGCCAAGTTATAAAATTCGTTATACACCATTTTTTCCAACATCACAACAATCTTTACCAATTGAAGTTTTATCTTCTAATGGAAATAATCTTATACCTGGTATATTTAATATCAAAATTAAACATTGTGATCGTCTTTCAATTCCAATAAAAATATTTGATAAACAAAAAATTTCATTTGTATCAGTATTTTTAACTGTAAATATTAATGAACAAATGTGTACTGATTATTTATATATGCAACGTCAACAATGGCCAATCAAAGAAATTGAAATTGTTCGTAATATAAATAAAATAATTGTTAAAGAAGTTAATTATATGAATCGAACAGAATTATTAATTGAACAAATTGATCCAATACCAAATAGCATAGATAATATAACAACATTTCAAGCAGCATTAGAAGATAGAAATGTATTTTTACTTCAAATAGAAGGACAAGATATTAAAACAATTAAACAAATGCATCGTTTATTAAAATCTAAACCAACTGTTGTATCTAATGATGGAACAACAACAACAACAACAACAACAAATGTAGCTGAAGATAAAATAAAAATTATTGTTGGCATGCCTTTATTACATAGTGTTCGAGTACAATATACAATTGAATCATTTAATAAAATAGAAACAGAAAAACAAGTAAAGAAAAAAAAAATTAAAAGAATTTATTTTATTCTAATTTGATATTCTATCAGAATGAACAGTCACCAAAATTATCAATACGTACTGATAAGTCTTTAACACCAGTCAATGTACGAAAAAGAACTGTTGAACCAACGAGTACGATGTTTATGTTTTTTTTTTCTTTTTAAATGTTTTATTCATGATTGATTTTTCTAATATTCTTTTTTTTTTTTTCTTTAGTAAAGTTTGATAAAAATGACGATTCAATTGATGTAGAAAAAAAACCATCAGATGGTGATGATGATGAAAAAATACAAAATGTTACTATAGAAGATACTTCTATCAAACCATCACATACAAATATAACAAAAAAATTAAAACAATCAGTAGATAATAATTGATCAAAAAGTTCTCTTTTGAAAGTTTTCTTTTTTTTTTTAATATAGAGAAGTACCGTAAATGAGATCACTCTAATTATGATGAATACGAATATTTTACAAGAATTTAAAGCTCAACCGACTGCTCCTCAAAAAGTGGAACCGGTTTGTTTTTATACAAATTTATAAAAAAACAAAAAAAAAATTCATTTATTTGCTCTTGTTTTTCTTTAATATAGTACATGGAAATTAATAATGACTTTAGTTTTCAAGTCGGTTCAAATGAACGATTTCTTAATGTTTGCTTATGGTGTAAACCACCGCTTGATTCTGATGTACCAAATGCTGGCAAGAAACTTATCTTACTTGGTTATGTAAGTCACAATTACATATAGTCATAAAAAAAAAAATAATAACACTTATGTTTTATATTTCATTTAGGCTACAGTTCCTCTTTCACAAATAGTACTTGATGCACATATGAGTTTTAAACGTGAAACTCAAATGGTGCTCTATTTTCGATCGCCTTATTCTGAAAATTCTAGTTTGTAGGTTTTAATTTATATAATTAATTTAAACATTTATATACATAGACACATACTAATGAGAAATTTTTTTTTGTCTATTTAGAAATGCTTCATTAACAGATTCTGAAAGGTAAAATTAAAAAAAAATATATATCTATTAGAATAGCAAAATGTATGAGAAAATTTAATTTATCGATTATATTTTAATTTTTTATAGAATTTATAATTTATGAAATTTTATTTTAGTAATCAACGACTTGAATTAAGTAAACATAAAGGTTATGATGATAATTTGACTCATGGTTGTGTAACAGTAAATATCAAACATCAACCAGAAATTGAAGCAAACTTAAATTCACAAGAAAAAAAAGATCAATTTGTAGCTAATGTACCAGTTTTAACTGATTTGGCTAGAAAAATAAAAGAAGACGAAAAAAAACAAGTTCAATTAAATTATATAAATATAATTAATAAACAACACGAATCATATATACGAAAGTAATTTTATTTTCATATACAAAAGAAAACTTTTTTAAAATTTAAAATTTATTTTCTTTCTATTTAGAATAACAGATCATTTATTTGAAGATAAAGTATTTCCAGTTACAACAGTATGTTATTATTGTAAAAAAAAAATTTGGATGAAAACAGGACGTCAATGTCATGATTGTTTGATAACAATACATAAAAAATGTGAAGATAAATTTAATGCTCAAACACCATGTACACGTGAACCAATTCATTTAAAAACTAATCAAATTTCTACATCACCCGATGATGATAATAAAGGTTTAGTTAATATTGAATTGAATGATACTGCAATTGTAATAACAGATGATGCTGATTCAACATCAATTAAAAGTAACGATGAATTAGTATCACATCCTGTTAGTCATCAAATAACAACAATATCACCAATAACAGTACCACCAACAACAGCACATCGTTTGTCAACAAAAGCTGCAGCTGCTTTTTCTGTATTGGATTCCACAGCACGTCGTTCATTTCGTGCATTCGGAAATAAAAATGCTAATCCAACAACAAATTTAGCTGAAAATCTTTCAACAATATCAGATTTATCAAAAAGTGATGAATCGTTAGCTAGTTCTTTGTCTAGTTCAACAGCAGGATCAACAATAATAACTCCTCACGTACACACATCTTCCAAACTAGCAAATGCTGCTTCATCAGCTTATAGTAAACTTCGAGAATTTAAATCTAAACGATTATCTTCTACTCCTGAAAATACTTCTACAAAACAAACTCGAGCAACACCAATTTCAAGTAATGTTTGATGAAATGAAAATATTCATAAAATTTCTTTTTTTTAGTACCTAATGAAAATATTCCTGAAGCTGATTTACGAGATATCATTACGGTAAAACAAATGTGTTCAAAAATAAATAAAATTTGATTTTTTATTTTAGACATGTTTATCTGATGGAAACAATGATGTTACAAATCTTGAACATTTACTTCATGAAAGAGCTGTTGATGATACAGCACTTTATGCTAAAGCACGTGAATTTGGACAAGATTTATTTTCTGAATTAACACCTGATGAACGCAAACATAAACTTGATAATGAAGTTAGTAGTTATAATAATTTGAAATTTTATCATATTTCATTTATTTATTTAGATTTCTCGTTTACAACAAGAAATAAATTTACAATGTCAAATTCGTGATGAATTGACTAGTGAATGTGAAAATAATTTAACAGAAGAAAATGAAAAACGAAAACTTCGTGCTAAAATTGCTAATATTGATGAAAAAGTTCAAGCATTAGGTATATATTCATAAAGATATTGAGAAAACAAAAAAAAGTATCCTCAAATCTTTATAAAATTCACAATATTTTAATACTATGAACTGTTTCAATAGTTGATATCGTCATTCATATTTATGAGTTTTTTCAACAAATAAAAAACCAATATCTGAATTTAGATTGCATTGAAAATATATTCTCGATTGATAGATAAAGGTAAAATTTTAATCAAAGGGAATTTCTTAGATATAATTGCTCAACGATGCTTTTTATATTCGGGTAACTTTGAGAAAGAAAAGATTAAGAATCTTAGGCTTAGCTTTAGAAACATATAGAACTTTCTTTGATCTTATTTTGCTTATTGTTTTTTTTTCTTTAATTGATATTTTTTAAAAAATTAAAATATTTATTAATTCTTAGGAGCGCTGACTATTCTCTATTGTTCAGGTAAGTGTAGAGTATTTTTTTTTTTTTGTTCTTTTATATTATTTTGTATTTTCAATATTTAAAGGTCTTAAACATTGTTCTACACAAATGGCAACAAAAGAACATACGAATGAACCAAACCATGAATTGATTAATGTATTGTTAGATGAAGATGAAACTAATGATTTAGACGATTCTCAAAATAATAACTCTGACAAATAATATTGATTTTAGTTATTGACTAATCAATATAAAGATTAAATAGAGTGTTTGATGTGACAAACTTTTCTCATCTAAGAAAAAAAAAAAAAAACAAATTCAACAATTATTAGATATGTGCAATAAAATAAAACTGATGAATTGTAAAGTTGCATTTTGGCATGTTTGGGAAAACTCAAAAATAATTTTTTCTGTTGTTTATATCTTTTTGTTGTACAATCATAAATGATACTATTAATTATGTTTCCTTTTTTTCTTTCTCATTTTGTTCATTGTACTAATTTTTATGATTAACATTCTATTTTTTTATATTAATTCTTATTTCTTTCTCTTTTGTTGATTCTCAATCGAATATTGAATAATTAAAATTCTTCTTTTTTGTCTTTTTTGTTATAATTAATGTTATGTGTCAATAAGATATATATTTGCCAGAATCAATATTGATTGATAGGCTACTTCATAAGTCGAATAATACAAGAAAAAAAATAATAAAGAAGACATTTGATTATTATAAATCATTGCTTAGTGTTGATCGATGTTAAGCAAAAAAATGATACTAATCAATATTACCGTTAATCATTCATAGATATCGTAGACTTCACATGTATTTATCTTGTACTTTTTTGTTTCTTAGAACATTTCTAGTTATTATTGATGTATGTGAACTTTGCACAAAGAATGGCCGAAAAATTTTATTAATGTTTTCACATTCTAGAAACATTATAAAATAGAAATAACTAAATGGTATTCAACTACCTCAGTATTGATTTATTAAGATCTTGCTGTTCTTTTGTGGAAAGAAATCTATTATTATTATTATCTGAACTAGTGTATTCTCTTTGACAAAGAAACAAACAATTTATCCTCGTTGCGCTGATGAAATTCTTCGTATTTTGAAGTGAACAACCTACATCAGTATCATGACAAATGTACAAGTTGATGATGGATGATCGCAGAATAAACACTTTATACGGAATGTATTTGATTATAAAAATATAAATTTGTGAAAAATCAATGTTTTCTCACTTTAAATGACAAAAAATATAATTCGCTACATCCACTTTATCAATTGATATCTTCTGTTCATAGATTGCGCGAATTTCTATTGGTAGAAGACGTCTTGACCAAAATGACATGTCAGCTATAGAACGCTTCCATTTGTTCCATAAGAAAAGAGAAACAGTAGCTGTACTGCTATATGCAGCTATTGGTACTTCAATAGTTAACTCAAGTTTACCGTTAATCCATAAATTCTGTTGAGGAGTTCGTGCATCTGTAATATAATAAAAATCATTGGTTTTCAATCATTAGCATCAATAAGATTAATCAAGTGGATTTTACCTGCTTGTCGTTCTTGTACCAATACAATATGGAACCATTCGTTTGGTTTAATCTGAACATTAGATTTAACGATATGTTTACCGATGTTTGATGCAAATACTATTGAAAGAAAACTATTTTCGTCTATAGCCACTCCAGCTGAACGCGCATAATCCCAGTCATCATCACGCACCATAAATACAGCACGAGGCTCATGAGCTACATGATAAAAAAAGAAAAGTACATTTTGATTAAAGTTCTTCACAAAATGGACTTGATCATCAAAAGTTCATATTCTGCAAAATGCTAATTATACTATCATAATATTTGTTTATTTATGTTATGATTAGATATGAGCAAGACAATATTTGTATGACTGAATTAACTGCAGTGACAATAATTGTTTCTAAATTAATTCTGAAAAGAAAGATAATATTTACCCGTTGCAGCGATTAGCAACCAAAATGCTACAGTATAATCATAGCCTCTATCGATAACGCATGGAGATTTGTCAATATCAGTCTGTTCAGAATTTTCATTTTCGTATGTCAAAGAAACACATTTACCCAAAAAACAATCGGCAGTTGCGAAGTTAACAAATGGGTCATTCTGATCAGTAACATTTGCGTTAAAATTCCACCATCGAACTAAGCCTTTTTTACGATGCTTATTATCGAACTTCCAAATATGTTCAATTATAAAGGGATTGAAAATGAGCTGTCGCCATAGTCGACATGTTCTCGATATTTGTAAAGCATGACTAAATGATTCAATGGACAAAAGAAAAATCTTTTGTAATATTTCTGTTGATAAGACATCGTTGATGCATAAATGAGACTTGCTCATATCTAAAATACTCATCAACTCTTTATTATTTAACTATATATGAAAGTATATCAAGATTTTTTGTTTTTCGATTATGATGGATGTTTATTAGTGATAATATTGAATAATTGAGCAATGTTTCCATAAGTTCAACTAAGAGCAAGTAATTGATCTTCATTTATGATTTCTTTCAGATTATTTAGACTTCTCTAGTGAAAAGTATAGTGGCTTATTTTGGGTTACTCGATCCATTTCGAAAAGAGATGATAATATAAATTATAGGATATTAAGTGTAAAAGAGAGAATATTTTACTTTTACAAGAATAACATATGAATGAAATAAGTGTTTGATATCGATTACATATTTTATATTAATTGTTTGTTAGTTGAAGTCTCTTTAAAAAGTCGAGTAAGTTACTTTCAACTTTTGAGATATATCACCGTAAAAAGAATCATCAGAATCGAATACATTTCAACTAGCTTGCTTCTACTGGAAGTACATGGCAACCGAAACGTTGGTAACATAACGAATAGTGTATAGATTGTGTTGGAATCAATTGCATTGATCGAGTTATTAGCTAACAAAAATTGAAGGAATAAAATAGGCAACACTTATATAGAGGACGCCACGCAAAAACAACTAATGTGTGAAGAACTGTTAGAGAAATAATCTTCCATTTTTTGAAATATTTTAAGATAAAATAAATTTTTGAAAAAAAAAATAACAATGATCGAACGTGCTTTCTTATAATTATTCTCTTCTCCCTACACTAGAGTTCTTGTACATTTTCCACCAATTGAGTACTATGTTCTATACTGAGACGACGTCGTTTGGAGTTCAAGATTTTGAGAAGGAGTAGATTTAGTTGGTAACGCCATATTAATCCAATGAATATAGCTTAGGCCTTTCTAATGTTGCCGACAAAGATTCTTTTTACTTTACTCCAAAAATCTAAGACAATATGGCATGTTGTCTAATGCGTGTGGCGAGATAAAATCTCGAAATGTCTCACTGTAATTAATATCAAAAAGGGAAGATTCGAAGTTCAAGATAACGATGATTGGCGTCAAACAATTAATCATAAGTGTTAAAGACATCATGATACAACTCGACATGACACATCTTGTCCGAGAATCTAAAGACAGAGCAGCCAAACATCAGATTGAGCAAGAATTAACCTAACTGTCTAAGCATAATAAAATGATGGTTTCTTCGCTTCTTGCCTCGAGGATAGTCAACGATGCTACTACATGTATGCTGTGGAACAGGATCTGTAGAAATTGAAGCGGCTTAATTTTACATCAACGCACTTGCTTTCAAAAAAGTCACAGATCGACGTCGGAATGCTATATGAAAAGTAAGAATAAATGAACTAATATCGACGAACAATAAAAATGAATATATATGTGCTCAAATAAAAGTTATGATAGAGTGATGAAAGCATGAGCTAAATCGTGGCTGGAAAAATAAGATGTCATAATTTAGTAACTAAACTCTGTGTATGGTTAGCCGTGAAGTATGCCGATGGTTACTAAAACCAAAACTGCCTATGATTTAGATGTAACAATTTGATAGATATCATAAGAACTCATTTAGACGACGTAGTAACCATTCGACAAACAAGGTCCAATAGCGAATATTTTATTTTATGTGTATGCCTTGTACAGTCCTATATGTTTGTTTTTGTAACTCTATGTTTTTGTTTTCGTGCAATTCTCTACTTTTTATCTTTGGTAACTGCGTTTGTTCTTTGTCTAGACCGGCTTACCAATATTGGTATTTCATCTTCTCATTTTTTTAAAATGTTTGAAAAACAACGAAGTAGAGGCAATTCTTTAGAACATTATGGTACATAATGACTGAGATATCTGGCACATGAAAGATTTGTTTAGTTTATTCGTATACGAAATAGTTTTAAAAATATTTATTAGTATTGTATATTATCAAGCATGGACTAGTTAACCACGGGCAATATCATATTCTCAACCACGTTGCAAAAAACGATTTAAGAAGGACAACTTTGGATTGATATGGTGACTTTCCAATCGTGCAATTTCCTCATTCGTCAAACGCCATCCTAAAGCACCAGCATTTTGTTCAGCTTGCTTACCATTACGAGCACCACCAAGAGGAATAACACCTAGAAAATAATACTAATAAAATGTCAATATAACAAAATTTCTATTGTTTAAATTGAATGTGTCTTGATTTAGAATATAAAAGCAAAACAACGATAAATTGTCTCAAATATTCGAGTTATCAATTGTTTGAAGATATCTCTTTTATAAAAACAAAACATCCAAGAAATGCATTCATTTGTGTTGTTATGAGAGATATAGCTATGAGAATACTAGAAAATAGTGTAAACAAATGTTGTTTGATCGATTTAGTGTTTTATCGATCATATCGAATAACTTTCTCATAAGACAGCATGCAGTTTATTTATATTTTTTAATTCTATTTCTTCAACAAGTAACTCGAAATACTTCTTAACATAGTCTCAAACTTTAACTATTACGATATTGATCTTGACATGAATTCAAACTTATTAAAATAAACATATACTTTGTTCAAGTTTAGTCCAAAACTATATATCAGATAGTAATTTCATGAGCTAATGATCAAATGTATTGCCGTTCAATAAAAGTAAACTAATGAGTACGTGAGATTTTTTTTCTGTAGCTTTTAATAATCTAATACGAATCACTAAATTCTTATATGATCTTTGACATAATTTGACTGTTCTTTTCATTTGTACAACTTCTGTCTAAGAGTGACATAGGATTCATATTATCTAGAGACTCAGAGATTCTTTTCTTTTTTATTAGTCATAGTGATCTTTTTCCATTTATCAGACAGTAAGTTTTACTATACCTTTGCAAATAACGTAATTCAACGCAACAGAAGAGACACTAACATTACGTTTGTCTGCAATGCAACGCATTGATTCCAACAATGGCTCCAATTCATCCATATTGATTTTGGAGAGGTTACGATTAGCAGGAAGTGAATTAGCTTGCGAATATTTACCAGTCAGACGACCCATTGCCTATGACCATCAAGAAAAAGAAAGCAAAGAATCGTATAGTATACTAATTTTACTATTTGGAATGACCCTCATTGACTTACAAGTGGAGAATATCCCAGAACAGCAATACCTCGTTTATGACATTCTGTAATAAGTCCTGATGTCTCTGGTGAACGTCGAAGAAGTGAAAATTCAACTTGATTCGATGCAAGTTGAATATTATGTTTTTGTAAACAATCATACATTTTGATCGTCTGAGTTGTAGAATAGTTGGAAACACCTACAGTCTTAGTAAGACCAAGTTTAACTGTTTCAGCTAGTGCATTGCCAACAACTTCAATAGAACGAAGATGAATAGGGCCATGAATTTGATAGAGATCGATGCAATCCACCTGTAACGAGAACCATATTTTATTTAGATTATCTGTGACACGTTTCTGGTGATGTTGATTTTTGTAAATGATTACATCTACATCAAAATGATGGAGTTAGATATCCTTCGATCACATCTTCGCTCCTAAAAATCTATTCACTCTTCTTGATGATTTAGAAAAAAAATCTTGTGCAAAACGAATTGAAAGAATGATCAATGCTTACATCAGTATTATTTATCATACTGCTCACTTTTTAAAGTAGAGAGTCAGCTAAATTATTCATATTTTCTTTTATTCTTTTAATAATTACTATGATCAATTAGAGTATAAGTCGGAATCGGTATTTTAGAACAATAGATCTTCAATCTTAAAATATTATTCTGTTATTGAATTTCTTTTTCTTCTTATCAAATAAATATACTTAAGATGATTAACGCTTAATTTTCGTTTTAACAGCGAAATTACTAAAAAAAGAAGGTACAATAATTGTTTTCAGGTGCTAGAAGTCAGATATAGACAAACGAATTTCGAAAATTCTCAATAATTTATCATGATTAAATATTAAGTTTCAAAATAGGACGTATTCTAAGTGTATTTTTCAACAAATCATACACATTTGTTATCGTCGCAGAAAACTTAACATTAAATATATATATATCGTGGTTCATTGAACCATTTCATAAAAATCAAAACGAATTAAAGTTATCTGATACCTTCAATCTATCCAGACTTGCTCGAAGTGCATTGATCAATGAACTTGGATAAGATAATTTGTAAGGAAGAGGAAGAAATTTTGTAGCAATAATAATATTTTTAGTACTAGCAACTGGTTGATTAGCTTTATATCGAGCGATGCAACGTTCACTAAAAACTATTATTTTCTCTGTTAATATTCATAATCAATTTCAACTCACCTTTCACCAAATCCATAAATTTCAGCAGTATCAAAAGTATTAATTCCTTTTGACAAGGACATGTCAAAAGCTTCTTTAGCTTTTACATCGAGTTCTTTGTTCCAACCCCATATATTTTTGTCTCCCCATGCCCAAGTACCGACAACTAGAGTATGCATAGAAGGTATAAAATGTCGTGACTATATAGTTTGCTACTTACTAAGAGGAGAAACTAAGATACGATTTGCAAGCTTGATTTTTGTTTGTTCAGTCGGAATAGCATCACTTGGAATGTATACATTGTAACAAGAACTAGATGCCATAAGCGTAGTGTTCCTTGACAAAGTACGGTGTCGGAAGTGTCTTGCAATGAGAGCCACATCCTGGACGGACGAAAAAATTAATTTCATGATCACTCAGAATATTCTCATCTGTGTGCAATGCATGATATAGATAAATAAATGAAATCTCCAGTAGTTATTCAACGCTGATAGACGGCGCTATTTTCAAAGATAGCTTTTTCAGACCACAAGGATATTTTGCATATTATTTATTTTAAATTTCAATTTGACAACAACATGAATCATTGATCATTTCAATAATATTTTGTGAACGGTATCTGAGATTAGATGTTTGGCAATTTCTTTCATTTATTTTGCTTTTCATTCACAATATAACTTTCTACTTGTACACCGAGATATAATATCAAAACTAGATTCACCAATTATGAAAATTAATTTGATCTTCTAGAAATACCTGTAGAACGAATGTTTTACTCATCTAAGACTCTATGCAAGAAGATTTTCAAGAAAACATAATAGAAATTCTTACAAGATTGAGAGGAAGCGATCCTTGTTGGCGAAGATTAGTAAACAAAATAAACGAAAAAAAATCATTCAGATTCGCTAGAAAAAAGCAAAAATTTTTCAAGATTCGAGGAGAGTAGTCACTTTTCGACTTCTCGCTCGGCATTCTCTGACTACAACAGTGTCCAATACTATTAATTGACAAAATTTTACAAATTTTATTCTATTTTGAGAAAAAATTTTATGTTCTGAACATGGCTTTCGATAACTTTTCGGAATAACAAACATTGAAAATTTGACACGTAGGTATAGGTAGTCTTGCCTATAGACGTCGGCTCAGGAAAAACTCTTCTGAAATCAGACAGATAGTTTTCATCTAACAATACAAATTTCTACAGGAACAACCTAAAAAGTGATAGAATCTTGCTCCTTCCAATATCCTTCTTCGAATCGAAATATATGATTTTGAACGTTTAGATAAGTGTATTGCTTCTGAAATTTATTGTAAATTTTATGAGATTTTCCTATATCAAGTTTTCACAGTAGAAAATATCGATATGTTGAAGGTAGAAGTTTTATCAATGAAAAAAAATTTTATACATCATTGTGTAAGACTTGCACAATAAGATCGAAGATATTACAAATGAAATTAAAAGATTTTTCAACCGCAGGATTAAATTCTATTATATTAGACTTGTTAATATAGAATTTGAAAATTTCATTATGTTGAATATTTGCAACTATAGCAGTTTTCAAATATCATTAAATATCGTACGTCATAGCAAAATGATGCGACATCTATATTTTTGGATGATTCTCATTATTCATTTAGTAATATTATATAGGTCCAATCAGACATAGATCTAAACTGTTGTCGTCATTCTTGCCCAGTGTTTCCAATATTAAGTACCTCAAGGGAAAATAAAGTACCTAAGTCACATACGAACTTGAAAAAGCACTGTCTACTTCACTATATGGAAAAGACCTTAAGTCATGTCATTCTGTAAAGTAGAAAAAATTCTTCGCTTATGTTTTTCATTATAATTATAAAGTTACTTGTTTTCCTCTTGTTTATATTTTCTAATGACTGATGAATCTCCGAAGTATTTTTTTTTTCTTTTCCTGTTATCAAATTCATCATTGAAATTTTTCTTTTTCTTCTTTTACATTTTCAACGTAGTCTCTTATATATCTACTTCAATTGTTTTTTTTTCTCGGTATATCAAAATAAGAGTTTCAGTTAAAGTAATTTCATGGTTGTGCAATAAATATATTAGCATAGACAAAGAAAAACAATAATAATTAGTTTCATTTTATGCTTTTTATTTATTTATTCGATATACAATATATATGTATGATAGTAGAAGTTAATTCAAAGAAGAATTTCTTTTTTACCTAGTCAATTGAAAATAGGTATCTTTTTCATTATTCTCTATATATATTATTTTTCACAAAAGAACTGTGAGTAGTAATAACTTTGTTATTTTTAGAATAAAATAACAAGCATATACTTTGTCAATAGAAACCAAGTACCTATATGAATTTTTATTTTAGATTTCTATTGGAAAGCCTGTTCTCATCATCAAAAATCTTTCTTTTTATTCTATTTTAATAACAATGGGTTTTGATGCTATCTATGAACTTTTACAAAATAATCTACTTGAATCTGGTTTTGAAGTTTATCCGTTTCTAGTAAATAATTATACACCTATTAATTATTATTTATAGAAGACAAAATATCTCTTTAGATTTCATGGTATAATTCTGTTGTTGATCCATTATTTCATCTATCAACATATGATGATGATACAGTTGCTTTTCTTATTGTTAGTACACCAAGTATGTTTGAAAAAACATTTTTACCTTATGCACTCAACAGAGACAAAGATCTTACTCGTGATCCAATTGATTGTTGTGTTAAAGAAAAAATTGAATCCGTTATTAAAGTATTTAGTTTGTTTTTTATGAAAGATTTTTTTAGTAAAAAAAAAAAATTTAATGTTGTTTGTATAATAGAACATTCCTGATCATGAAATTGATGTTCTTTTTGACTATGATCTTTGGCCAACACGACGACCAAAAATAGTTATGCAAACAGTTGGTCATATCTCAGGGGCAGCTCATTTTTATAGTCGTCAACAACTCAAAAATGATCCATTTCCGAAAGATCGAGTAAATCGTTTTTATTTATTAAATGTTTTCTTTGAAAGCATTTTTTTTTTAAATATAGAATATGATGGGTGTATGTCTTCATCCAAAATATGGTGGTTGGTTTGCATTAAGATCAGTTCTTATTTTTAAAACACTTAAATATCCATTATTACCTCGTATTGAACCAATTGATATGTTAAAAGGTGATGAATCATTAATAATTGATGTTTTAAGACGTTTCAATTATTGTTGGCAAGATAATACATATCGAAATGTAATACCAGTTATTGAAACATATTCATCTTTACAACAATCATATTTTCAAACGAAACCTATTGATCGATTAGTATGGCTTGAAAATTTACGACAAACTTATGATGAAAAAATTTAGCTTTTTTTTGTTTTTTTTCTTTTAATCATTATTGTCAAGTGATTAGTCATTAGTTTTATTTTCGAAGTCATTTTTTTTCTGTTTCTTTCAAACTAGTCTATAATAGAAATCGTTTGTTTGAATTTTCTGTGTATTTTTAGATGTTAAATTTATTTATATGGAAAAGTTATAATGGCAAATGAAGTAAATACTGAAAACGACATGACAGGTAAGAAAGAATGAGAGATAAATATTATTTATGAAATTTTTTTAACTAATCTCTATATTTAGATGTTGACATTTGTCGTGTATGCCGATGTGAAGGTACATCTGATCGACCACTCTTCTATCCATGTTTATGTCATGGAAGTATTCGATATGTTCATGACGATTGGTAAGATTTTTTCAATATATATATATATAAATGTATAAAAAAATTTATTAATAATAATACAATTTTTTTTTTTATAATAGTTTAATTCAATGGTTAAAAGTATCACGGAAAGATGAATGTGAATTATGTGGAACAAAGTTTCGATTTACACCTATTTATCATCCATCAATGCCACCTGGTCGTTTACCATTGAAAGATTTAATCAATGGTTTATTACGTACTTTTTTTAAAGCATTAAGATATTGGCTTCATTATCTTATTGTTGCTTTTTGTTGGCTTGGTGTTGTACCTATAACAGCTAGTCGTATATATCGATGCCTTTTTGCTGGATCAATATCATCAATTCTTACATTACCATATGATATTGTTTCTACTGATCATTTATTTACTGATGTACTTCAAGGTGGTTTAGTTGTTTTTTGTTCACTTGGTGCTTTTATTTGTTTACTTTGGTTACGAGAACAAATTCTTACCGGTGGTGGACCAGCTTGGCTTCAACCAGCTGAACCTGAACCTATACGACAACCACCAGTACCACCACAAATAAATATTATTCCACCACTAGCACCAACTGATGAGTTACCTCTGGCTCCTCTTCCTCTTCTTCCACCAGAACCTCTTGCTCCTGTTAATATTGAACAACCATTAGCTCGTAAGTTATTTTATTTTGAATGTATCATATTAATTTCTTTTATAATAGAAAATGAACCTGAACATGAAGAAGTTGCTTTTGTTGATGCTGTTCATGATGAAGAAGAAGAAGATGATGATGATGATGAAGATGAAGATGGTGAAGATGAACAAGCAAATTTAGTTGTTCAGCCAGCTGGTGCCGGTGAAAATGCACAAAATCAAGAAAATAATCATAATTGGATTGATTGGGATCGAGCTGCTGATGATTTAACATGGGAACGATTATTAGGACTTGATGGTTCATTACAATTTCTTGAACATGTATTTTGGGTTGTGACACTTAATACATTATTTATTCTTATATTTGCTTATGCACCTTTTCATCTTGGTAAAATCATAACATCTAGTAAAACCTTTCGACAAAGTATTATCAATACACGTCTTGAAACTCCAATCAATACTTTAATAACTTATGGTACAAATCTTTTTTTTTTTTTTCGTTTTCGTTCAAATATTTTTATTTCAGGTTGTGTTAATGCTTTGGTTGGTTATATTTTCATATCATTTTTTCTTTTAATAACATTTACTACATTAAGTTTTGTTAATTATTTAACACGTATACGTCGTCTTGTTGGTCTTGCTTATATTGTATTAAAAGTTGCATTACTGGTTATATTAGAAATTCTTCTTTTTCCATTTATATGTGGTATATGGCTTGATGTATGTTCATTAAGAATATTAAATGAACGTACCGTAACACTTAATGATCGTTTAATACAATTTCAAATGAGTCCAGGAACAAGTACATTTTTACATTGGTTATGT